CTTCTGCAACTATGTTGTTGTATCTGAGCTTCATACACAGCTGCTATCAGTTGAGATTAAAAAGGTCATTGACTCACTCGCAGTAGGGAAAGTCCTCAACACCAGCCCAGCTACTGAATGACTGAAAGCCCCACCTCCTGCCATAGTGTCTTGACCACCTTATGCTGTACTGGAGTGAAGGTTCTGTCCCACACCATATACATGACGCAAACATCACATGATACAAGAACAAAGGGGATTGCAACACCTACTGAGAAGGCTCTCACTATTTAATGTCAATGAAAAGGCCTTTCCCAAAGTCATTCCATCAAGGCTTCATTGACTAGAACAAAGAACAAAGAAAATTACAGCACAGGAACGGGCCCTTCAGCCCTCCGAACCTGTGCCGATCCAGATCCTCTATCTAAACCTGTCGCCTATTTTCCAAGGATCTGTATCCCTCTGCTTCCTGCCCAGTCACGGATCTGTCTAGATACATCTTAAATGACGCTATCGTGCCCGCCTCTACCACCTCCGCTGGCAACGTGTGCCAGGCACCCACCACCCTCTGCGTAAAGAATTTTCCGCGCATATCTCCCTTAAACTTCTCCCCTCTCACCTTGACATCGTGACCCCTAGTAATTGAGTCCCCCACTCTGGGAAAAAGCTTCTTGCTATCCACCCTGTCTATATCTCTCATGATTTTGTAGACCTCAATCAGGTCCCCCCTCAACCTCCGTCTTTCTAATGTAAATAATCCTAATCTACTCAACCTCTCTTCATAGCTAGCACCCTCCATACCAGGCAACATCCTGGTGAATCTCCTCTGCACCCTCTCCAAAGCATCCACATCTTTTTGGTAATGTGGCGACCAGAACTTACGCAGTATTGCAAATGTGGTCGAACCAAAGTCCTATACAACTGTAACATGACCTGCCAACTCTTGTACTCAATACCCCGTCCGATGAATGAAAGCATGCCGTATGCCTTCTTGACCACTCCAACGACCTGCGTTGCCACCTTCAGGGTACAATGGACCTGAACACCCAGATCTCTCTGTGCATCAATTTTCCCCAGGGCTTTTCCATTTACCATATAGTTCGCTCTTGAATTGGATCTTCCAAAATGCATCACCTCGCATTTGCCTGGATTGAACTCCATCTGCCATTTCTCTGCCCAACTCTCCAATCTATCTATATTCTGCTGCATTCTCCGACAGTCCCCTTCACTATCTGCTACTCCACCAATCTTAGTGTCATCTGCAAACTTGCTAATCAGACCATCTATACCTTCCTCCAGATCATTTATGTATATCACAAACAACAGTGGTCCCAACATGGATCCCTGTGGAACACCATTGGTCACAGTTCTCCATTTTGAGAAACTCCCTTCCACTACAACTCTCTGTCTCCTGTTGCCCAGCCAGTTCTCTGTCCATCTAGCTAGTACACCCTGGAACCCATGCAACTTCACTTTCTCCATCAGCCTACCATGGGGAACCTTATCAAACGCCTTACTGACGTCCTTGTATATGACATCCACAGCCCTTCCCTCATCTATCAACTTTGTCACTTCCTCAAAGAATTCTATCAAGTTGGTAAGACATGCCCTTCCCTGCACAAAACCATGCTGCCTATCACTAATAAGCCCATTTTCTTCCAAATGTAAATAGATCCTATCCCTCAGTATCTTCTCCAGCAGCTTCCCCACCACTGACATCAGGCTCACCGGTCTATAATTACCTGGATTATCCTTGCTATCCTTCTTAAACAAGGGGACAACATTAGCAATTCTCCAGTCCTCCGGGAGCCACCTGTGCTGGTCATGACTGGTCAACAAAACACATCCAGAGGCACGGTGTGGTTTCAGCTCAAGTATATCCCTGGTAGACATGATCTTCCCTTTATGTTAGCTTCAAGGGAACTGCAGAGAGGAGCAAAGACTGCTCCACCTTGTTTTTGTGCATCTAACAATGGCACTCAACACTTTGAGCTGAGTATCTCTCTATCAGATACTAGAGAAAATCAGCTACCCTCCCAAACTTTTGCAGTCCCGTAATGTCCTTTCGTAACATAAAGGGCAGCATTCCATTTCATGCCGCCACCTCTGACAGTTTTGAGATCAAGAATGAAATGAAATTTCTTAAACTTGTTCTGTTTTGTATTTTTTTCTCTCTGTCTGATTGACCTATGCTATCCTTCCTGAGATGTAAACTTTCTACCTCTAAATACTATTAGACAGCCAAGTCTTCAACTTATCCAGATTGAAAGATAACACAAAAGTGCAACTTGCGCTGATCCGAGAACTTCTGCACACTAGTGATGCTGCAGTGGTTGTACATCCTGATTTGGAAATATATTGCAGTTCTTTCATTTCCATTGAATCAAAACCTTGCAATTTTCTACCTGACATCCGTAGTGTACCAAGGGACTGCTAAGTTATAGATCTCATTGGGTTGTGTCTTTGTCACTGAAGGTATATAGCCAATGACAAGTGTATTGCAATTGAATTGAGGCATGCAAAATGCGACATAGAAATGTAGAAAATAGGAGCAGGAGTAGGCCATTCAGCCCTTTGAGCCATGCTCCACTATTCAATGCAATCATGACCAATCATCCAACTCAGCACCCTGTTCCCACTTTCTCCCCATACCCTTTGATCCCTTTAGCCCCAAGAAATATAAGTAATTGCTTCTTGAAAGCATTCAATATATTCAACCACTTTATGTGGGAGAGAATTCCACAAGTTCACCGCTCCCTGAGTGAAGAAATTTCTCTTCATCTCAGTCCTAAATGGCCTATCCCATATCCTTAAACTGTGAGCCCTGGTTCTGGACTCCATGGTCATTAGGAATATCCTGCCTGCGTTTAGTCCTGTTAGAATTTTGTAAGTTTTTATGAGAGACACCTCCTTTCATTCTCCTAATCTACCCAGTATCTTTTCATAAGCAGTCCTGCCATCCCAGAAGTTAGTCTCGTAGACCTTTATTGCAATCTCTCCACAGCCACGATATCCCTCCTTAGATTAAAAACTGAGCTCAATACTCTTTGTGTGGTCGGACCAAGATCTTTTACAATTGCAGTAAGAATCCCTGCTCCAGTACTCAAATCCTCTTGTTATGAAGGCCATCTGCCTTCTTCACTGCCTGTTGCAACTGCCTGCTGACTTTCAGCAACTGGTATACAAAAACACTCAAGTCTCATTGTGTTTCCTCCTCTCTCATTCTGTTGCCCATCAGATTATCATCTGCCTTCCAGTTTTTGCTACCGAATTAGAATTAGAATGAGCTTTATTGTCACATGTACTCAAATGAGTACAGAGAAAAGTTTACAAGTTGCCACTTAAGGCGCCATCTGAGGTACAAGGTACCAAGGGACAGATTCTTAAGTACAAATTCTTAGGGAAAAATAAATTCAAAAAATAAAGAAATTAAAAGTCCAGCATTACAGATCATAGGAATAAATTAGAAAAATAGAGAAATAAAAAGTTCAGAATAACAGCTCTTCCAACTCAGTCCATGCTGGCATCTCGCCTCTAGTCCAAGCTGAGCCTTGACTCCAGACTGTGCAGGGCTTCACTTCAATGCTCTTGAGGATGGGAGACTGCTTTGGAATCACCTCGAGGATGGAAGTCCACGTTGAGGCTGAATTTATATATGGATTAAAGTTGCCGACAATTTCATCTGCACTTTTATTGCTTGCAAGTCTAATTTCCTGTTTAATGTCTTCTCTTCACCACCACATTTTGTGGGTCTGTATGCAACCCTACTATTGCTTACTGGTGTTCTTTGGTCTTTCTACGCACTACCCATACAGATTCTACTTCAGCAAAGCTAATATCCTTCCTCACTATCGCATTAGTGTCCTGTTTAATCAGCAATGCTATCCTAACTCATTTTCCTTGTCGTCTTTCCAAAAAACTGATACCCTGGATATTCAATTCCCATCCCTGGTCAACGTGTAGCCATGTTTCTGTAATCCCAAATATATCAAACCTATTTTTGTGCATGTGCGTGACTAATTCATTGACTTTATTGCAAATGATCTGTGTATTAAGGCACAGCTTGTCTTTTTAACCCTGTTTAATCCTGTCCACATTATTTTGCACTGTGGCCTTGTTTGATTCGTGCCCTTGAATTCTCTGCCTAACTCTCTTCTTATTTTCCATTCTGTCTTTTGTTTTTGCTCTTGTTTCTCTCTTTACCTCTTCTCTCTCTTCTAGACCTTGCTGTGTAGGTTTCCGTACCTTACCATTTTGTTTGAACATACTCAATAGAGAAAAGTTCTATTTTATTGCATTTTTCATTACCTGCAATTTGAAATATTTCAGAATGTACTTTTGGATATTTTTATGAATTTTTTTTTTCCCAAAAGGACACACTGTGGGTGTTAACCTTCATCAAAAGATGACAGTGGCTCAAACAGATGATTCACCACCACCTTCTCCAGGGTAACTAGAGATGGCCATTAAAAACTAGACTTGCCGGTGACATCCATCATGTCACAAAAATGAAGTTTTTATGGCTATAAAGCTATTTTACCAGTTGATTATGTGACAGGCCCAGGCAGGATGTGCTTTAGATCTCAGCAGGCAGGTTGGAAAAATCTATTCCGCATTGTGTTGTCTCTGTCCAGTACTCATGAAAAGCCCAGCATCATCCTGCTGAGTTTAATTGGATTTATGCAAGGGGAAACTGTTTGAGTTGTCATAGCAGTAACCTATGATAAGTGACAAAGTGCTGAAGGTGTTACTTGCTTATCTGAGAAACTGAATTTCTGAGTGTTCCCAGAGGCATCTGTTACAAAAGTAAAATAATAAATTCTTCTGAGATCTGAACAGATCATTTGTTGAGTGACAGGAGACATTTAGGTGCTCCTGCTAAATCCCATTGCGAACATTCTGAACAAGTTAATTTTCTGGCTTTTTTTTTATATTTGAGGAGGGAATCATTAGATGGCATCAATATTTGTTATTAGCACCCTTTCTGTCTGACCTGACAATCTGGTATTTTCTTTTCCCAGCCATTTCCCCTGGTCTCTTCCTCTCGATTTTTGTCCAAGCGAGGTGAGCTCATGGGTTTCGTCGAGGACACAGGGATTTTTTCCAAACGCATGTCAAGGCAACAAGTGTATTTCTTCCTGTTCAACGATGTCCTTATTGTCACAAAGAAGAAAAGGTAAGTTAATGTTTCCCACTCTCCCTTCTCCTTTACTCCTGACCCTTCCCCTTGCCTCCCACTCACCTTTACCCCTCTTGCCTTTGCCTTCTCTCACTTTCCCATCTCCATCATTTCTCCTGAGTGTATTGACTCACCCAGAACTGGTTCTGTAGGAGATCAGCATCCTTTGCAAGGAGGATCATCGGGCTATTTTTAAACAAAGTGTTAACAAAGCCTGTGTGTGGTTCTAGCGAGTTCAAAAGTCACAGGACACCAGGTTATTGTCCAACAGGTTTATTTGAGATCACAAGCTTTCGGCGCACTATCCCTTCATCAGGTGAAGTGAGGAGAGCACCCAGGCACTGACTTTATAATCAAAGAGATCAAAAGATCATGTAAACGGTGTGAGTGAAAAATCGATAGGCTGAATAACAAGTCTGTACAGGTGATCAAGGTGTCAGAAGGTATGAGTACAGAGTCAGCAGCTGAATAACAAGTGAAGGGATGAACTATAATCCGATCAATTAAATTTAGAACAGTACAGCACGGTACAGGCCCTTTGGACCACTTTAATTACAAAAAAATTAAAGGTGACGCTGGAGACAAACCCAATGACTGGAATAAAAACCGAAAGAAATGTGGATGCTGTAAATCAGGAACAAAAACTGAAGTTGCTGGAAAAGCTCAGCAGGTCTGGCAGCATCTGTCAAGAAAAACATCAGAGTTAATGTTTCGGGTCCGATGACCCTTCGTCAGAACTGATGGTAGCTGGGAAAATGTCAGTTTATATGCAGAAAGTAGGGAGGGGCACAGGGTTGGGAATAAACGATAGGATAGAGCCCGAAGAGAGAGCAGAGCAGTTGGATAGACAAAGGAGGTGATAACGATCAGGCTGGGAGGGTGAATAGTTGTTAATGGGGACTGTTAGTGACTAATAACAGGGGGTGTGTAATGGCAGGCTATGTGGTAACAAGGCTTGGTGTGTGGGGTAGGGGGCTAGGACATAGGAGAGTTTAGGTCCTAAAATTATTGAACTCGATATTGAGTCCGGAGGGCTGCGGGGTCCCCAAGCGGAAAATGAGGTGTTGTTCTTCCAGCTTGCACTGAGCTTCGCTAGAACACTGCAGCAAGCATTAGACAGAGATGTTGGCCAGGAAACAGGGTGGTGCGTTAAAGTGGCAGGTGACAGGTAGCTCAGGATCTTTTTTGCGAGCAGAATGTCGATGTTCTGCAAAGCAGTCACCCTGTCCATACTTCGCCTGCCCAGTGTAAAGGAGACCACATTGTGAGCAGCAAATGCAGTAGTCTAGATTCTGGGAAGTGCAAGTGAAGTGTTGCTTCACCTAGAAGGTATTTTCAGGCCCTTGGATACTGGGAAGGGAGGAGGTAAATGGACAGGTGTTGTACCTTTGCTGGTTACAGGGGAAGGTGCCGTGGGGCTGTGGGGGGCGGTGCCAGGGGTGAAGGAAGCATGGACCAGGGTGTCCTAGAGGGGCAAATGGTCCCTGTGGAAGGTGGACATGGGAGGGGAGGGGGATATGCATTTGGTGGTGGCATCTTGCTGGAGATGGCGGAAATAGCATCTGATGATCTTCAGGAAGTGGATGCTGGTGGGATGGTAGGTACAGACAAGGAGAACACTTCCCAGAATCTAGTCTACTGCATTCGCTGCTCACAGTGTGGTCTCCTCTACGTTGGAGAGGCCCCTAATCATTGTACCACTTAGCTTGAATCTATGAGCCTTGGTTTTTGAACTCTCTGCCAAGGGAAACAGCTTCCTCCTGTCTACTGTCTCTCTACCCCTCACAATTCTGCATTCCTCAATCGTGTCACCCCTCAGCCTTCTCTGTTCTGAGGAAAACAACCCCAACCTCTCTAAAATGTAGGGACAAATTACTGCAAATGCTGGAATCTGTACAGGAAACACCAAATGCTAGAGATCACAGCGAGTCAGGCAGCATCCATGGAGAGAGAATAAGCTAACGTTTCAAGTCTAATTGACTTCATCAGAGCTGAAGTGAAGTGTGGAGGGGACAGCATTTATGCTATCATTTCGGTGGGATGGGTTATTGGGCGTAGGGTGCTGGTGGAGAAAAGATGCTGATAGTTCAGATTAAGTGATTAGAATGTGAGAATTGCAGAACAATGGTGTGATTTCTGCCAGATGGGATTTCTGGGATGGGAGGAGGGAAGAGATGAAATGATAACAAGCTAACGGAAGGTCAAAAATCACATGACACCCAGGTTATAGTCCAACAGGTTTATTTCTGACCTTGTCCACCCCAGCCCAACAACAGCACCTCTACATCAAAGCTAACAGAAAGCGACGAAGAGGAGCTGGTTCACAATTTGAAGGTGTTGAAATCAGTATTAAGTCCAGAAGGCTGTAAGGTGCCTAGTCTGAAGATGAGATGTTGTTCCTCCAGTTTGTGGTGTGTTTCAGTGGAACATTGCAGCGTACTGAGGACAGACATGTGAGCATGTGAGCAGGACGCTGTGTTAAAATGACCTGCTATGGGAAGGTCGGGGTGCTTTAAATTGTGAACCAGCTACTATTTCTTCCCTTTCTTTTAGCTTGTTATCAGGCCGTCTCTCCCCTCCCCCCATCCCAGTGGGCACTGCCTGTCCTTTCAAGTCTGGCAGGAGACACACCATTGTTCCGTCGTTCCCACATTCCAGTTGCTTAATCTGAACTATCAGCACCGTGTCGCCTTCAGCACCCTACATCCAATAACCCAGCCCTCTGCCAAACTATAGCATAAATACTGTCCCCTTCACACTTCAGCTCTGATGAAGAGTCATCTAGATTCGAAGTGTTAGTTTGCTCTCTGCGTGGATGCTGCCTGACCCAGTGTGATCTCCAACATTTGTTGTTCCCCACCTCTCTAATGTCTCCTTGTAGCTACAATTATCTAGCTCTGGCAACATTCTAGTAAAAGAATGTCGGCATTGTCATACAAACCCATCTGGTTCATTTTTTCTGAAGAAGGGTCCAGACCCGAAACGTCAGCTTTCCTGCTCCTCTGATGCTGCCTGGCCTGCTGTGTTCCTCCAGCTCTACACCTTGTTATCTCAGACTCCAGCATCGGCAGTTCCTACTATCTCTGGTTCATTTGCCTTCTTTAGGGAAGGAAATCTGCTGTCCTTATCTGATCTACTTTTGACTCCAGACCAATAGCAATGTGATTGACTCTTAACTGCCCTCTGGAAATAGCCAGCCACATAAGTACCCATATCCAACGATGACACCCCAAAAAAGACTGGTTCTCAGGACAGTCAAGAAAGCACACCAAGGTATCCACTTCCTCAGGAGGCTGAGGAAATTCGGCATGTCAACAAGGACTCTTACCAATTTTTATAGATGCACCATAGAAAGCATCCTATCTGGATGCATCGCAGCTTGGTATGGCAACTGCTGTTGCCAAGGCTGCAAGAAACTGTAGAGAGTCGTTAACACAGCCCAGTTCATCATGAAAACCAGCCTTCCATCCAGTGACTCCATCGCTACTTCCCACTGCCTCGGGAAAGCAACCAACATAATTAAACACTCCCACCCAATTATACTCTCTTCCACCCTCTTCCATCAGGCAGAAGATGTAAAAGTTTGAATACACATACGAACAGATTCGAGAACAGCTCTTCCTCGTTGTTATCAGACTTTTGAACAGACCTCTCAAGTGTTAATTCTGATCTCTCTCTCTCTGCACCATCTTTGCAGCTACAACACTGTACTCTGCACTCTGTTCTGCTATCCTGATGCACTTTGCATGGTACGATCTGCCTGTACAGCACACAAAACAACACTTTTCACTGTATCTCGGTACATGTGACAACAAATAAATCAATCAAAGGTTCACCACTGCTAGCTTTTCAGGAAAACCAGACAGGAAATACTGCTCACATTCCAGGAATAAATAACAGTTTACATGAAAATCAGAGCAGTAAACTGGGTGAGTATTTCAAGATCACAAGAGATATCTTCCATCACAGATCAGGGATTGGATTCTGAGTTTGCACAACATGAAGTTGCATTTATATAGTGCCATCAAACATCGTCTCAAGGGGCATCGCAGAAACATTACCAGAAACATTGTAACACCAAGTCTCATAAAGAGCTTTTGGGGCAGTTGAACAGTGCATGGTCAATGAGGTAGGTTTTAAGAAGTTTCTTAAAAGTGGAAGAAGTTCTATGAAGATTTGGCAAGCTTTAGGGAGGGAATTCTAGGGCCTATCTCCTAGACAGCTGCAGGCTTGGCCTTCAGAGGCAGAGGGATTAAAACCAGGCAAGAATCATAAGCTTGCAGAATTCTCAGAGGGTTGTACCTGACTTGAGTGGCTGAACTTTTCACTTCCTGAGCCGTCAAGGAATTCTGAAACTGATCTTTTCAAACAATCATACCACCGCGTGACACCGCAGAATAAAGGGTTAAGCAACACAATTAGTGAATGTTTATCTCCACACTCCAGAAACCATTGCAACTCTGAACTCCCAGAAAGATTTCTCAACTGATGCTACTTGCAAAATAATAAGAACCAGTGGCTTCAGTAAATAGAGGCCCCATAATTTGAAGAAGGCGTGCTTTTCAAGAATTGTTTATTTTCTGATATAATTTCTGGGAGTTGTTTTCTTGCAAAGAGAAGGTAAAAAAATGCTGCTGGGAAGAGGGAAGTCATAAGGTTTTAAATAGCCGAGCACACTAAAAGGGAAGGCTGTTACTTCTCAAAACGTGCTGGCCTGCTTTCAAGTGGATGCAGCAAACATCCAGCATAGATCAGAAGCAGATGTTTTGCAGCAACTTGGAAAGCTGACAGATGTATGTGTCCCAATTGTCACTCGTTGCTGTATGCTGGTATTGCCCAAAGTATAACAAACATAAGTGCAGACTTGGATTTATAAGAACAGGGTTTTGTAATGGCTGATGACTCACTGCCACAGATTTGCTCAGAATTTCTGAAGTTGTTGACAGTGTGGGTGACGGTAACCAGTCTGCCATGATTACTTATCTCTAGCTGCCCTG